GATATTCTTTATTCTTATATCTTCCCTTATTAACTAATCCATCGATACAAATTTACCCATGATAGCTACATCCTGAAGTCAGATATATCAAAACAATGTGCCTGAATGGTATCAAGCTTGTGCGGTTAAAAAACAATGTACCTGATGTTCAACAAAAAAAAAAATGTACCTGAAAATTCAGGATGGGTAAAGTTGTCTTTTCGGACTGCACTAAGTATAGATTTATTCGTATATTTGTTTAAGTGTATACATTACGATAATTTCGGGCGCTCTCTCATTTTCGCTGCTTCTTCTTTGCTTAGCTTTTGAGCTTGGGATTCGATCCCAAAAATCTTAAAAGAATTTGATTCAAAAAGTCGCTACTCAGGGAAAGAAAGAAAGGAAGAAAGAAAGCAAGTCAAAAAGTGTTCCGGGAATTGTAACCGCCGTCCTTTGCCGCCGTGGTCCGCCTTCGACAGCCGCAAAACTGCACTAGCTTTACGCTTTTTCTGCAGCCTTTTCTTCTTTGATTCTCTCCTTTTATAGGTACCACCTCTGTTTCTTTTTCTCCTTTCACTGATCACCGTAATTTGTATATCTATTTGTAAATGTTCCACTGATGTTTGGATAATTCGTACCTAAACGAAGCTGGTGGAATCAATGTTTTGGTTTTTGGTGGTGTAGATTTGGTGGAGAATTTGTAGGAGTTTTTCGCCTGTATTTATGTTGACTTTGGATCACTGGAGAAAGAAAATGAGCTAAATTTTTTTTGTTAACAATTAAAGACATTGTGCTTGAAGTTGAATTTTTCCAAATATGTTTGGTGCAGTTAATGGATTAGGAACTTGCAGCTATCCTGTTGAAATTTTCATTGATTAGTAGTATCCTGGCTGAAAATGATTTTGGTGGGGCATTTTTTTCTGAAATTTGAATTTTCTTATGGTTGGTATTCAAATTTGAAGCTGTCTCTTTGTACATTCTTCCAAAATTATTGTCGCTGTGGGACAATGTTTGAAAATATTATTGGTTGGAGGAAAAGTGAAAGATAAAAAGTATACTGGGGGAACAAAATGCTTGAAATTATGAGAACTGGAAGAGTAATTTTCCAGGAATTTTCACTGGAAAATTGTTTGAATTTTCAGGCATTTTCATCAATGAACCAGAATTATCAGATGTCGGTTGATGATAAAGTTTTTCTTGGTTGTTCACTTTGAAATTAACAGTGTTTAAAAAGGTGATTTCTGGTGACCAAACAAATACTCTTTTTGTTTACTTTTCTTGTTGACCTTTTTACTATAAACCCTACACCATCTAAACATCTTCTTCCTGCTATTATCTGTCCTTCCTTTCTACTTCTTCAATGAACATCATTTGCTCAGAGATTGTAGTTTGTTGCCAGGTGTGTTAACTAAGCACAGATTTCTGATGTCTTTGGTGACTGTGTTTATGTGTTCTTTTTTACCATTATTAATCAATTATGAACTGCAGCTATTCTTGTTCTTGAAGGCTAGTTGCTCTATTATCTGATTTATAGATCTTTTTTAGCTTCCAAAATGATATATTCTGCATTAATAATGTAGTCTGTCTTCTTTTTTGTAGATCAAAGGAAGGAGGGATTCAAGGTACCATCACAATCTCACTGTATAAATCTTTTTATATTATTCTGTACTTTCATCGGTTCATGAGAACTTTGGATTCACTATTGTAAGCAACTGTAACCTATTGGGCATTATGCATGTCTGGCCCTGTGGCCACAGTGGACACAGTGGAAGGAGCACTTTCTTGTGCTGAGAGAACAAAATCTCTTGATGTCATCTCTGACGGAGACCACTGTTTGGTACAAACCAATGGTGAAGCAGTGCATGCTTCTGAAGCAGCTGGGTTTAGAGTTGGGGAACTCTTACTTCCAAATGGAGAATGCTATTCTGGGTCATTGCTTGGCAACGTACCTGAGGGTCCAGGAAAGTATGTTTGGCCAGATGGTTGTGTATATGAGGGAGAGTGGAGACATGGGATGAGGCAGGGAAATGGGAAAATTCAATGGCCTTCTGGAGTGTTTTATGAGGGTGAATTTTCTGGTGGTTATATTCATGGTACAGGGACATATGTTGATCCTGACAACCTAACCTATAAGGGAAGGTGGAGGTTAAATGTCAAACATGGCTTAGGATATCAAGTTTATCCTAATGGAGATGTATTTGAGGGCTCTTGGATCCAGGGAACACCTGAAGGTCCTGGAAAGTATGCTTGGGCCAATGGGAATGTTTATCTGGGAAATATGAAAGGAGGAAAAATGTCAGGCAAAGGAACTCTTACTTGGATGAATGGGGATTCCTTTGAAGGAAGTTGGTCAAATGGCATGATGCACGGCTTTGGAGTGTATACCTGGAGTGATGGTGGTTGCTACGTTGGAACTTGGACAAATGGCTTGAAGGATGGAAAAGGATCATTTTATCCACAGGGTAGCCGGCTTCCTGCTGCTCAAGAAGTTTATTTCAATGCTTTGAGAAAAAGAGGGCTTTTGCCAGATTTGAGAAAGCAAAACCATGGTCATATGCATCATGCTTCTTCAGTAGACATGGGAAATATAAAGGTTGGAGGGATTCGGGGATCTCGTCGTTCAGATAAGCTCTCAAAAGGAAGCTTACTAAATTTGCAAGAGTCTCACAACAAAAACATTTCTTTGGAAAGGCGTTGGAGTCTTGAGGTGTCTATTGAAAAGATAATTGGACATGATTCAGCATTAGAGTTGTCTGATTCTGTTTTAGAAGGGGATGAAAAAGAGAACCAAATAAATGTACCTATTTTAGAACGTGAATATATGCAAGGTGTCTTAATTAGTGAGATTGTGTTAGACAATAGTTTCTCCCCACCATCTAAAAGAGCTAAACGACGACAAAAAAGGTTAGTAAAAGAGGTTAAGAGACCTGGCGAGACAATTATCAAAGGTCACAGGAGTTATGATTTAATGCTCAGTTTGCAGCTAGGAATCAGGTATGGACATTGTTCATATCTTTTATCTTTATGTTCTCTATTCTGCTTCTGTTTCTGAATTTTATTACATCCCTCAGTTTGCTGACGCAGGATGGACGTCTTGTGGCTACTAAAACATTTCTCTCAAACCTAATTTAAATTTTAGAGAGTCTTTTACAAGTGACCATGGAAAGATAAACTGCATTTGTCATAGAAGATGGCCTGTACTTTAAAGGCTAGTATTTAATATGTGTTAGAGTATGCTCAGATATACTGTGGGGAAAATCACACCTGTCCAGAGGCGAGAAGTTAGGACATCAGACTTTGGTCCTCGGGCAAGTTTCTGGATGAATTTTCCTAAAGAAGGATCACAATTGACACCACCTCATCAATCAGAGGATTTTAAGTGGAAAGATTACTGCCCAATGGTTTTCAGGTAAGGAAATACATTCATTTCATGGTAAATAGAGTCATCTTGCCCCCCAATGGAAAATGAAGTTGTGCTCAGCTATTGTATGGTAAATACAGTGATCTTGTTACAATGTTGGAATTTCTTGTGGAATCTGTTTAGGTCCCATTGCTTTAAATTGAAATTTGCTCATATGCTTCAAGTTGAGGTTTTATCTATTTGTAATCAAATATAGCATGTGATCTAGGCACTGAATCTTCCTATCTTCATATTTTGTATTTGTTACAGAAAATGGAGTACCGATGCTTTACAAATATTGAACAACTCTGAGTATTCCCATGAATTTTTTACTTTTAACTTTTAATTACCTTAGGAAAAAGAAAATATCTTCATCAATAATCCCCTAAACTCATTATTTGTTTTGCTCTGGCATATGTATTCTAGCTACTAACTCAGACATGGTAAATAAGAGCACAAACTCTCTAAAAATTCATTAACATTTTTAGTTTCACACTGTGATGTCCTTAATTTTTTTTGTTCTCCCTTTTATATAGAATTTTGAAATTCTGTACCAGTGTCATTTCAATGCTTGTGGAAAACTCAGGATGTGAAGTAAATACTTCACTGCATTCAACCTATTTTATGCATTTTTTATTCTTTGTTATACTACAGGCATCTATGGCATTGCTGGCACAAGTATTCTAGAAAGAAAATACATTTGCTTATGACAAAAATTCATTGTCTTAACGCTCTTATTTTGCTTTCAAAGTTCTGTGTTGTATGCATATTGGCTTACTATCTTTGTAACATGTTGACATGTGTAAATTTCAAAATAGGAATTTAAGGGAGATGTTCAAGATTGATGCTGCTGACTACATGATGTCCATATGTGGAAATGATGCTCTAAGGGAACTTTCTTCTCCTGGGAAAAGTGGTAGCGTCTTTTTTCTGTCTCAAGATGATCGTTTCATGATTAAGACACTACGAAAATCCGAAGTGAAGGTTTGCCATTTCATTTTAAAGTTTGTGCATTTGTATATGCTGAAAAACCATACAAGTTATGTGTTGCATTGCATAAAAACTACAAATGGCAGAAATAGAACCTAGGGTATTAGATAAGTCATCTGTTGGGGGTTGTGTTCTTGTGCAATGGGCAGCAAAACTGTGAATGATATTAATTATCATAAGGTTCCACTGGGAGTTGTTTGTTCTGGAGTTGTGTTGAATTCATTTCTCTGGGAAAACAGTTTTTGTTTTTGAGTTCCTTGATTTTTCTTTCATTGCAACTTTAACATTCTACAGAAAGGAAAAAGTGTTGACAATAATTCAACAAAGATGTTGAACTTTATTATAGGTTTTTAATTCTGTTTCAGGAATCAGTAATTGAGAGTAAATTGGGTAGAATGATGGAAGTGCCCAAGGTGCTTTGACCTTTTTTGATGTGCATGCTGCAATAGATGTCATTTAGCATGCATTCTGTTTTGTAGTTTTTATTTTGTTCTTTTTGGTTAGAAAAAGAATGTGAAATTTTATTTACTAAATTTTGATGTATAGGTTCTCCTCAGAATGCTTCCCAACTATCATTATCATGTGAGGTCATATGACAACACACTCATAACAAAATTCTTTGGTCTTCACAGAATCAAACCTTCAAGTGGGCAAAAGGTAATGAGCTTGGTAAATTAAGTTCTTTCATATGCAATGCCTTTTTGCCTCAATTTATTCACGGGGCTTTATTTTTCTCATTAATCTAGTTGGATTAGGTTATATGGAGCATGTTAGCCTCATCCATTTCTAAACAAACTTCATTCACTCTGTAGCCTATTTTATGCTATTTTTTATGGTGAAACTTCAAGATTGTGTAATGTTTTATGATTGTGCTAACAGCTAATTCTTTCTTTGCAGTTCCGCTTTGTAGTGATGGGGAATATGTTCTGCACAGAATTAAGAATTCATAGAAGATTTGACTTGAAGGGATCATCACTTGGGCGTTCTGCAGACAAGGTTGAAATTGATGAAAACACCATACTTAAAGATTTGGATCTGAACTACTGTTTTTACTTGGAACCTTCTTGGCAAGAGGCTTTGTTAAGGTAATCAATGGGTTTGAAATGTTTTTCTTGTAGTCTCCTTTTTGAAGTTGAAATGTTGTCTATCGCTTGGGAATATAATGCTGAGGACTACCTGTTTCCTTGGCAGTAGAGTCGTAGAAAATTTCAAGTAACGTTATTATGGATCCATGTTTTGTTGGTCAATTGTAAGAATATAAGTTGATAAAATTCAAAGTACAAATCCATTACTTTTCCAGTCTGGGAGACATAGTACTATTTCAATCAACTTTTAAGTGCTTCGTGCTGCTGTATTATTCATGAATCAAATGTGTAAATCTTCTTGCAGTCAAATAGAGATAGACAGTAAGTTTTTGGAAGAACAACATATTATGGATTACAGCCTTCTGCTTGGCGTGCATTATCGAGCTCCTCAACACCTAAGGCCTCTCATGTCCTACAACCGAAGTATAATGGGAGATGGATTGGGAAGTGTTGCAGAGGAAGGTGGGCATCATAATCAATATTTAAGGTTCTTTTATGTGTGTGTGTGTTTGGGTTTTTAGACATGATTCTAGGTGTCAGGTGTCTTTTATTGGTTGGAAAAGTTCTTTCAGTGGCATGAAGTGCAGAAAAAGGAAACAATAACATGGATAGACTGAATTAGTAGTTGTTTTATAAATGAACTAGTTAGTGAGTTTAAACAAAAAGGCAATGATAACTTGGATAAGTTGAATTATAAAATGTCTTAGGTGTAGATGTTTTCGTGCTGGAAATAAAGTGAGAATTGCAAATGTTCTTAGAACAATTTTTTTCAAAAGGATATATTTGAAACACTGAAAAAAGACCTGACATGCCTACCATGAGAAACTTTGTCTCCTAACTTTTGGGTACGATGAGTTTTTGGTTTTCTTATAGACTTTGTGTTTGATTATATATATAGACTGATGATGAACCTGGGCATTTTTCTGAATTTGTGTCCTAAAATTTGTTTTAAGCTTCCTATGAGCCTGCATATTTTGCAGCATCACAAGACTGATGTGAGAATTTGTTGACATTGCAATTTTGGATTCTATAGAGGATGAAATCTCCCACTACCCACAAGGTCTTGTTCTGGTGCCTCGTGGAACAGACGATAGTAGTGTTGTTGTGGGCTCTCATATTCGGGGTAGCAGATTGCGAGCTTCTTCTGCAGGCGATGAGGAAGTGGATCTCCTACTCCCTGGTACTGCAAGGTATCTTAACCACAAAAGCTGGTTTTTTATAGGACAAGGATAAACCTCTTCTCAATTGCCTTAGTTGATTTGGGCATTTTATGCAGAGGGTGTAATAAGCAAGTTACGCTTTATAAAATGTTGATTAAATTAAGATTCAATGCCATGAATTGAATAATTGCAAAATCATTGTTTTTTGCATCTCACGCACGCTTTGCATATTTGTTGAAGTGCTGTGGCATGTGAATATTAATGCACTATCACCTCTTAAGCAGACTCCAAATCCAGCTCGGGGTGAACATGCCAGCAAGGGCAGAGCAGACTCCAGGCAAGCAAGAAGACATGTTTCATGAAGCATACGATGTTGTCTTGTACCTGGGCATCATTGACATTTTGCAAGACTATAACATCAGCAAGAAGATTGAACATGCCTATAAATCTCTTCAATTCGATTCTGTATGCATCTCTGCCGTGGATCCCACATTCTACTCAGAGCGCTTCTTAGAATTCATCCGAAAGGTATTTCCTCCAAATTCCATTACAAGTTGAAAGTTCGTATTACACCTAGCGGAGGAGATCTCATCACACTGAAGTCTGAAGGCCCGCGTCTCTGTTATGATGTTATCAATGGCTAGAGGTTCCTTTTTTTTTCTTTCTTTTTCTCTCTTTATTTTATTTTATTTTATTTTGGGCTACAATTGTTAGAGGTTAACGAGTCATTTCTGATGGTGTATC